CCAGTTGGCAAAGATGCCTTTGATATCTCTAACTTAAAAAGAGGAATCAGTAGTTTTCAGAAATCCCAGAAGCTGAAACGGACTCGGAGATTGGACCGTCAAACATTGGACAGACTCCATCGGGTCACTGCAAAGGCCGCAAATGCGGAGGGCTGGACCGATGCCGTTAAGTCAACTATGGCTGAGTTGAGTGGCCATGGAGGCGAGATGGTCATGGGTATGGTGCGGGGCCGGGAAAAGGGCGGCATCGCTGATATTGAAACCCTAGATGTTGACAATTTCGCACACCTAGTCACGGGTGAAAGAGCCAAGTGGCTTTGGAGAGGCAAGCCACGCAAGAGCGGCATTGGAGACAGCTTTGCTGGAGGGCATCCAGGTGCCGACATGATGTTCACCACAGATGATCAGGGTGGATACCTATGGACCAGTCGCAAACGAAGCTCCCACGATGATTTGATCGCGGAACGCTCTTATCAAGGGTCAGAACGCCCAGGAAGGCCTCTCGAATCAGTTAACACCCTTGATGATAAAGATCAGAATATAGGCAGGTTGGTGCGACGAGGCGTCAGTGGAAAAGTATCAGATGCGCGAGCTGGGTTTGGCAGGTTCAAGGATGCAGTGGGCCTGCGGTCACACCTCCCGAAGACCAAGGATGATGTGGATCTCGTTGGTGACGCAGCTTATATTCCTCCTTTAGAGAGTGACACTGAGATGGCCCCTTCAAAGATCACTTCTGATGGAGGTCGAAAACCCGAACCTGAGAGCATTCCTGACAACGAGATGCCAACCCAGCCTCACGAATCGAGCACGGAAACACCGCTCAACAATTTTGTACCAAAATCATCCGATGTCAAACTCCCAGCTATAACAATCGAACCTGCAGCATCAAACGAACCCTCCGATGGCTCCCGAAAGGTATCTTTAACTCGGGAAGATGAGGAGTCGCAAGATCTAGAGCGGTGGAAGACGCGATCAACCGACGCAGCCGCCGAAGATCAGACGTCAGAGTTTGGCATCATGTCATTGCGCCGGCCGCAGAGCAGTGCTGAGCTTTATCGTGCAGACAACACCGAACATTTGAATAATTACTGGCCGCGACACCTGTCGTTCAGCACTGTCGAAGAGGTCGTGCTGGGATGGGAGGACTTGAAGGGGAAGGTTGAAGACTCTGAAAACCCCAACGCCAGCTTAGAAGAAGCTATTGCTGAAGAGGATATTCTAGTGTCTGACGCGCGAATATTCAGCTCCAGAGTACAAGGCTTAAGCGAGGGCACTGTTCCTTGGGTCGAAAAACAAGTGGGTTCAGTGGATGACCTGAACCGAGTTTTTTACGAAGCGCATGAAAGGATCAACACAACCTATATGGAGAAGCTCAACCAATATCAAGGAATTCGAGAGAGATCTAGTGATCTCCTGTCTGAAGAACACTCCTCACTCACGGACCACATGAGACGGGTCGAGATGATGAGCGCGAAACTAGATTACGAGCTTAATGTTCTTGGGTCCAAGGTCGAGGAAGTCGAGACTGGGCTAGGTGAGTTTGAGAGACATATTGAGGAGATAGAAACAAGGGTTAAGACGCTGGTCCGCGGGGAAGAAGAAAAGCAGAACTGCTCGTGGCTTTCACGGTTAGGAAGATTCACTGGGTTCTCTACGTAATTATGGTTTTGAACCGGCACCTGTAATGTAATACTGTGACATATATATTCACTTCTATTGTACATAATATGAAAATATTCGATTAACCGTGCCATGCGCAGAACCATGACCAAGACCCAAACGCTTTCACCATCCCAGCACTCATCTAGCCGGCTGCGATCATAACCAGCCGGCATAGAGTGCCCCGGAATCGACAATCTTGAGAACTAAACCCAAATGCAACGCTTCCCGGTAAAAGATGATCTCTGAAACCAAGGCAAGATCCGCGCCTGACAAGGACAACATAAAGGCAAACTCAAGCGTAAAAAGAACATAGATTATGTTTCGGAAGGGAGGTTTGTCCGTGAAGCAGCAGACTTCATCCATTTACATGCCGAATCCCATACCACCGCCCTGCTTGTTGGCGGCTTCGCCCTGCATCTTCTCGCTGACCTTGATGTTGACTTCGAAGAACTTAGAGACGCAGCGGTCGAGGCAGACGGACTCGCCCTTGTTCAGGTCGCCTTCACGGTAGTCGTTGGGAATGCACTTCTTGGTGCACGACTCGGTCAGACTAAGTAGGTTGTCGGCATTAGCATCGTTGTCAATCGAGAATTGAGTCGTATCTGTGAACGGAAATTCGAAAGGAAGGTTCAAGGCATTATGGCATTGAGTGCAAATTAGGATTGTATTCATGAGCTCACCGGTTGAACATGTCTGAAATCATCTCAACTTCGGTCTCTGCGGCAGCAATCTTCTCTGCCGAGGACATCTTGGGGGGACCGCCAAAGAGGAAAGACATGGTGTTGGTTATTGAAGGAGTAATTGGAAAATGACTAGGAAGATATTAGCATTGACAATCAACTAATTCATGGACTTTTACTGACAAATTTGAAAAGAGATTAGGTTGATGCTGGTATAGAGGATGGAGATAAATGTTGTCTGGAATGATGGTTAATCGGAAGTTCCAGTCGGAAGCTTGGACCACCTTCACCGCCTTCGAACGATTTTTCTTCGGCTTTTCGCTCGTTTTGCTTTTTCATTCCCACACTCTCTCTTCCCGTCCGTGATGTGACGGACTTCGTAGTCTTCCACCTCGTATCCATTGCAAATGCATTCAGTTCGCCCCAGGTGGGCTTCACAGTTGGTCTCCGGGAGACTTTGGTCAAGGTAAGCACCATTACTTATGCCTTTCTTTTTTATTATATTCTTCCCCTGCAAAGCCATCCGAGGACGAATCAGATCCCTTCCAATTCAGAACCGCTGCAGTATGATGCCTGCAAAGCAGGCAATGAACGCAACGGAAGCTATTTTTTTTTTGACTCTGACTGGATTCAATTGCTTGAAATTGTTTTCTTTTCTCCCTTGACGCACATTATCACTTGGATCCTGTGCTAATTTTGAATGATCAGAACAGGATTGCCCGTCTCTACCAGTGTAAAATGGGCTTGCTCATCGAGAGCCCAGCTGGCGAAAACAATTAACCATTCCTCCATTGTTTCTATAAGTACCAGGAGTAGCAGCAGTGCAGCTTCACCTGAAAGAGCTTTCAAGGAACGGCTACAAGAGGTTCAAAATGTCTGTCCTGATCCGTATCCTCGCTTAGCAGCAGATGGTCGCTCCGTGAGCTGTTCGGAATTCCGCGACCGATACAACTACTTAGAAAATAATGAAACAGTAGAAGGCGACTCCGTCGTTGTTCGTGGTAGGTCTCAGCCTTAGTCGGCTCTACCTTATTGTCTTTTGTACTTAGGTTAGTAGGTAGGATACGTACGTATAGACTTGCCGGAAGCAAATTGATCTTCTTCGATATCATCCAAAATGGCCACAAAGTTCAAGTTATGTGCAACCTTCGTCAACTGCCGGGGATAACACCGGAAGCCTTTAAAAAGCTCTACCGTTTGCTCCGCCGCGGTGATGCTTTCTGTACGTTTCTCAACAGACACGTCTGTATGTTCACTTGGGCTGAACCCTTGCCATAGCTGTAACAGGTAGACCTCACCGCACTGGCCGAGGTGAGCTCACAGTTGTGGCCACTGAATTACCTCAGCTTTTGTCTCCCTGTCTCCATGACGTCCCCCTGGATGCGAAAGAGCACGAGAACTCGCCATACCCCCGTCATGTCCAGTTCCTCGCAGACCAAACTACGGCCGACATTATAAAGGCACGCTCGGCCATCATCCAGTATCTGCGTCAATTCTTCCTTGACCGGTCATTTATGGAGGTCAACACTCCCATCGTCAATTCGATCGCTGGTGGAGCCATCGCTCGTCCCTTCTATACTTCCGCGACCGAATTTCCCGACCGCCAGCTGTCTCTCAGGATTGCACCGGAATTGTGGCTGAAGCGCCTAGTGGTTGGTGGTTTCGATAGGGTGTTCGAGATTGGACCCTCTTTTCGCAATGAGGGTATGTTGCGCTCAATCCATTCCATGTTTTCCTGCAAAGTAATCATGAATGACTGACATTCTATAGGCATCGACAAGACCCATAACCCCGAATTTACAACATGTGAATTCTATCATGCTTATGCCAATCTAGAAGACCTTTTGTCTATGACGGAGAGTCTACTGTCCGGCATGGCACAATATATCCGTGATTCTAACAAAGACGCTACGCTGAAGCCCACCGAAGTTGACTTCTCAACGCCGTTCCGTCGTATCGATTTCCTCACTGGCATTGAAGAGAAGATCGGCCGCAAGCTCCCAAATCTCACATCTCCAGATGCGGTGGTCCAGGTGAAACAACTGTTCAAGGACTTGTCACTCGAGATTCCCGAGGCTCCCACACTCCCCCGACTTTTGGATGAACTCTGCAGCATCTATGTGGAACCCGAATGTGTAAATCCGACCTTTATCATCAACCCTCCCGAATGTCTATCGCCCTTGTCGAAATCATTTATCCATCCAGTAACTGGCCAGCGTGTTGCTGCACGCGGAGAACTGTTCATCGAAGGAAAGGAGGTGGTGAATACATACGAGGAGGAAAACTCGCCATCTGAACAAAGACGCAAGTTCGAAGACCAAGTACGCTACAGCAAGGATGCGGACGAGTCTGCAGAGATCGACGAGAGCTACCTCGAGGCTCTGGAATGGGGCCTTCCCGCTACAGGCGGCTGGGGATGCGGGATTGACCGTCTCTGCATGCTCTTCACCGGCGCAAAGAGGATTGCAGATGTCCTACCCTTTGGGACCCTACGTGCCGTAACCCGGCGTTGAATTCCCTAAGGTGGAAATTACTTGCTGTACCCATTAGGTATCTGGATAACCCACCTACAACTGTACAATAACAACCTTAATATGTGAAACTCAAGAACTATATACATATAAGTCATCATAATCAACATCTCATCTCAACACCACCCTAATAAGTCCTCGCCACCACCTCCCTCGCAAACTCCCCAAAACTTTTCCCACTCTCCACCTCCTCCCCCAAATTCGGCTGCGTAAACACCGCCAACGTATTTCTCGCAATCCTCTTCCCCGCAGAAGGCTTCGCCCCCTTAACAAAATGCGGCACAGCCCTAAACTTCCCCCTCGTAATAAGCTGCAACGCCTCCCCGGTCTGAAAAGCCAAACAATCTCGGGGAATATTAACCTTCACCACCTCCCCAGTCCGCGACTGAATATAAAGCCCAGCCTTCGGATCCGGCGAAGCCCCCAGCTCAACAAGCTCCCCTCCCTCCCCAGGAGGACTAGCAACCTCATCCACAAACATAGCAGAAGTCAACCCCGTCAAACACCCATGATCCAAATGCGTCGCACACCAATCATCATCCCCATCCCCATCCCTAGTCTCCGAATCTGCTCCCCCCTCCGCAGGGAAATAATGCAACAACCTCGCCTTCGTCGTCAAACTCGTCCTCACAACATGCTCCAAGTACCCACTCTTATACCCGTCAATATTCGCCGTCGCGTACCGATCACACGCCCTCGCCACCAGCGCCGCAGTATCAATAATAAGCGCGCAGAGCTGTTCCAGCGCGGGCCGGAACGTGGGCAGTCGGTCCGCCGGCGGCCAGATGTTCGGGGCTGTGTACTCGGATAGATCGGGGAAGTTGTCGGCGGGGGCGCCTTGGAGAGTTGGGTCTTGGTAGAATGCGCAGTTGACGTAGTAGGAGCCCTTGAGGGTGTCGAAGTGGCCGGATCGGAGAGTTTCTTTGCCGCAGGACCAGCCTACGAGGTATTTTGCCGATGGGCTAGTTAGGGTTTCTGGGAAGTTGGTTTTTGAGTGGTTAGTTTGGACTGGGGAGTGGATAGGAGTGTGGGCTCATGTGTACCTAGTTCATCGTTGGGGAGGGCTGCAAGGTAGGATGCGTTGGAGAGGACTTGGGTGCGTAAACGTTGGAATTCGGGGTCGAGGTCTTTTACGACGATTATTCCCAGGGAGGACGGGCCGAAGGCTTCGGTGAGGGTTTCGAAAGAGACAGTACCTGGCGTTGATGGTTAGTTTTTTTGTTTGTTGTGGAGGAATGTTGATATATATATATATTAGTGTTTCTTGTGCTTGCTTACCGTTGATGAGGTCTTTGAGACTCACTGTTACGGCTTGGGCTTGAGGTATGCCGTCTAGACCCATTGTTGCGATTGTATTTGTGAGAGGATCGATCAGTTAGTTAGTTTGCAAGAGGATTATAGTGGATTTATTGTTGCCCCTCTCAAGGAATTTTTTTTCCCTCTCTATATTCCCCGCCTTTTAGTCAAGGTAATGTAGTATTTGGCTGGCGGGCCAATCCGATGCTGTTCACACTGCCGGTTATCTGCGGCATTTCTTTCTCTTATCGCTCGATAAGACATCGGATAAAAGAATGTGGTAGAAGATTAATCGTATTTATGTATATTTATTCCTTCCCTGATCCACAGTAGTAACAGAAAATAAGAGCAACTAGCAAACCATGTCGAATACCAGAACGCTAATGGTTCATCGCCATAAATACATATCCTAGTCGCAGCTGATTCAAATAGTCAACCTAGGTCCTGCGCTAGGTATCAACGTCAACGAAGTCCTTGACGCCTGAACCCTGAAAACGAGTCAAGAATATCGGCGTGAAAGAGCTTCAGAGCATCCATGATCAAATATTGTGAGTCGGCCGTTTGCCCTAGGGCCCAGGGCTTGGCCTGTAATCACCTCCCTCCGATTCATCCGTCCCCCCTGGGAGTTGATTCATGGCCAACGTAAAAATTTCATCTGATTCAGAAGTATCTTCCTCGTTTGGCAGGTTGGGCCCTTCTTCGGAGCTTACTGGGTTGCTCACGTCCGCGGCCCCAAGACCCGTACTGACCAGCTTGCTAAGCTTGCCAACCTCTGAAAAGTTGGACCGAGCCTTCGTGGACGGTCGACCAACATTGCCGGGAAGCTTGGCCAGGCGAAGATCGGCTGAATCCGCTGTGCCATCAAGAATTCGGAGATTCGCTCTCCACATCTTGATTTCACGTGCATCGCTGTAGTAGCCCACATCCTGGCCATTAAGTGTATCAATCGCGAGGGTCTGAGTTCGAAAATCGCCCCAGAACCAGTCTTTCCCTTCGGGAATACGTTCATCAACTTTCCGTGAATACTCTCTCGCCTTGATTACCCCCGACAAATCCAGCCCCAACAAGCGAGACCCGAATAAGAGGTCCATTGCATCGGGATCGTAACAACGGCCGATTATCATATTCTGCGAGACCTCCACTGTGGCGCCTTTCCACACTCTGTACCAAGACCCATATCCACCCATACCAATCGACTGAAAAACATCAATGACTTCCTCGGGCTTCATAGGCAACTGTTGGCTCGTCCCGTCGGTTCCAGCACTAGATCTTCGAGGCGCGTTCGTATAGACCTTTCCTGCAACTCGAATCTGATATCGTTCTGCTAGTTGGTCCGACATGAGATCGTTCACGCAGTTGGCAAGTTCCAGGCGTATTTCGTCAATGACCATAACATCTTCAACGGCCTTATGAGTTTCGTAAGAGTAAACCTGGCGATTTGGTTTCAGGCGGACGGCATCTCCAACAACCAAGAGCTCCGCTCCGAGGAAAATACCTCGGCAATAAATGGCTGCGTTCGGCCAAGTTCCTTTAAAGTGATATTTGTCCAGAAGACTGAACGATGACATTATCGTCATCGCATACCCGATGGAGGGATGTAGCTTTTCGGGCGGAATCCCTTGCAGAAAGAGCTCGTATGCATTGAAGGGCTTGATACGCTGCAAATGGACATATTTGTAGTGCAATGAATAACTTTTATCGTAGCTTTGAGGATCAGGAAAGGTCTCCACGCGAAAGCCGGAGTAGTTGACGCCCCATTTTTTGGGCGCTGTTTTGACTAAGTCCTGAAGGACTATGTCTTCCTCTGGAGTCTGGCCTACAATACCAGCCCGCCATTCGGGGGTTCCTAACCATTGGCCTTGGTTGGGTGCGTACATTTCGATGCGTTTGTTTTCGTGGTTCCAGACCAGTTCCCCCTGATACTCCGGAGCCCAGAGTACGACTTCTCCGGGTCGTGGAACGTAGGAAGGCTGCATGCCCAACTGCTCAATATACTCGTCAAGTGCTGTCCTCTCGGCCATCCAGTCCATGCTCCCAGTCTCTTTTATTTCCTCATCCAGAACACCATTTTCTTTGAGCCTCATGACGGCCATCTTGAATACGTCTGGTGTTCCTTCTCTATCAAGGATAGCGCGCATTCCGGCCGCAGCAGGCCTACCAGATGGCCTACCAGGCGGTCTTCCAGGTGGTCTTCCAGGCGGCCTACCAGGTAACTTCCCATACGGTCGTCCTGGAGGACGACCTGGTGTCCCTCTAGGGGGTATGTCGACCGGCCTGGCAAGACTGGAACTTCCTCTCCCTCGTCCTCTCCCTCGTCCCCGTCCTCGTTGGGAACCATCTAATATCGTGTGAAGTACATTAGCGAACATGATAGAAAGTGAAATACGGAAGGAGCGCCAAACCTTTTTCACGCTTTGCTACTTTGTCACAAAGCATGCAATGGCAAGTCCCAACCGCACCTGTCACCAGATGGTAAAAATGTGGAAAGAACTGGAGTATCGAGGGGAAGTATTGCCCAATTGGATGTCCCCAAAGAAATCTATCACGCTGAGGTGAAAACTATTAGACCCAGAGAATCTGTACCATAGTAGGACAAAGACTTACAATGGTAGGATCCGTCCCACGCGGCCTATCAAAGAGGGCGTAACCGTCTGGCAAGCGGTCGATCATATATCTCATCCCTGAAGATCAGTGTTTAGCTAGAAAGGACTTGAGGACCATGTGTGAGATTTAATTGACAAAGAAGCAAAGGAACCAGTTCAACGCAGTCACAGGAACAATTTTGGACCCAGGATCTATCTCACGCGTCGAACGACAGGATCCGGGGACATAATAGATAAGAATATACAAAAACATAATATCAAGCAAATTAAATAACCAGTTGAAGTAAACAGGGTGATATAATACTAGCCAGCGACTCTTGAACACTAGGGGGCGAGTACAATGGTACAAGAGAGGACAGGTGCTGACGCTGGGGAAGATTGCTGTAATAGAACTGAAACGATGATAACAGCTACCAGAATCGATGAATGACAATAGTTATCATAGAGATTAGAATATAAAAGTTGTCCATACCCTCTTCGTATGCTCCAATTTTCTGCAGCCATAACATTGCCAATTTTTCCCGGTAACTGCTATCATTTGGCATGCCAAACCTGGCTTCAGTGGGCCAAGTGGACTTATCTCCATCGCTGACAGATCCATCTATAGGGATTATTATTACATTTTCGTTCTCTTCCTCCTCCTCTACCGGGTGTGGTAATTGTGGCAGGGACATCTTAATAGAGAATGAAGAAGTCAACACCCTTAGAATAGGCGTATCGGAATTTAATCTAGAAATGGCGTAGGCATGCCATTCTTTAGAAGAAGAAGAAATATTTGGTGGTCGGATAATCCATGGCGTTTATTTTCAGTAAAGTATAAGGGTGGATCGTCTGGTAAATGTAAAATAGAATAATTATTTTGATTTCCGTCAGGCACAATGTGATGATCCGCTTTGCCCGTTCTGAGTGGACGATGGTCATGTGACTACATATGATCAATAGATTCGTGAGTACATGATGATTGATCAATCTCACTGTAATCAGGTAGAAGTAAAGACTCAAGAACTACCAAAAAATCACGTAGATCCCACTTTCAAATGAATAGTGAGGCTTCGTGGGTGATAGCCACCACAGTACTTTGACTTCTATCTCAAGCACATGCCAATACATACAAGACATTATATACTCTCCGCTCTTACTCCGCACCCCGTTCCAAATTCAATTCCAACTCCAGTCTCGCTTTCATCAGTTCGACCCTTCCTCGACAGTTTGGCTTTGAGTTGTCTCCGGCTCTTCCGTATATGGTGGCGGGGCCAGCTCTCCCTCCTCAACCCAAACCTTACGTAGTTCGTCCTCGATTTCCTCTCGGCGTTGTTTCCATTCATCAACCTTATCCAGACGCTTACGAAGTTCTTGCAGCTCTTTCTCAACATTCATCTTCTCCTTAGCGGTGCCAATCCGCTCAAACTCCCACTGTTCACCTTCGGAGCCAAGACCAAGGGTGAGGTTGTAAGTGTGATACTTTTTGAGAGACGCACGCGTAGAGATCGTGATGAGTGTAATCCCGCGCTCCTTGGCCCGTTCGTACAACAAGCCCTCAACGTCCGAGGAGACAGCAGAGGTTCCTTCGTCGAGGAAGGCGTAACGGGGCTCATGGTAATATAGACGTGCCATAGCCATTCTTTGCTTTTCACCACCGCTCAGAACATCCTTCCACTCCTTCCGGGAGTCCCATCCACCTTCGCGGGTAGGGAGGTAACCTAAGTGGGCATCATCCAAGATCTTCTGGAGACTTGCATCTGATATACCTCCCTCACGCATGTCGACCTCCGTGTGAGGGTAGATGACTTGGTCACGCAAAGTACCCACACTGAGGTAGGGTCGTTGGGGAAGGAACATGATTCCGTCCAGTCCAAAACCCCTTGGTCGACTGACTAACCCACGATAAACTGGCCATAAACCAGCTATTATACGAGCAATGGCAGATTTGCCAACTCCATTCGGGCCAGAAATAAGCAGGTGATCTCCAGAATGCACAACGAATGACAGTGACTCAAGTAGCTCATCGCCACCATGAGGATAGAGAGATGGTGCGACGATTGGAACATTTTCAAGACGCACGCCATCAAATCCATTATGGATGGTACCCTGAGCATCTGCTAGAGAGTACAGCTCCGCACGGGAGCCGCGTGGAGGATAATATGCGTCTGCATGAACCCTATGGAGTGTCGAAATCAGTGTGTAGACACGCGAGGTGTAACCAGCCAGTTCCGAAATGTCCTTGATACTGTACATCATTCGACCACCGGCATCTGCTAGAGATAGCATCAAACGTTTGTTCGTGATGAACTCCTTCATACGGCCCCGTTCTCTCCCGACCGCTTCAGGTGTATCGGCTAACTCCAGGGCACCACCCAAGCCACCCCATGCAGGGAGAAATACAGGCAAAGATGTGATCAAATAGCCGAAGGCAGACCAAGAATATTTCAAGATAACATCCTCGAGCATATTATAGCGGATCTTCAGGCTGTAAATGCCCTCCAACCAGCGCTGGAGGTCCTTGAAGCTTCTCATTAAGAAGACTCGCTCAATATCAGCTCCACCATAGAACGATATCTCTTCAGCGTTCGCAAGTAATCTAGAATGAAGCCCTCTGAAATCTCCTTCTTTTTTGCCCTCGACAGCCTTGAGCTTGCCGAACGGAGGTGACAGTTTACGCAGAACAATTGCAGTGCTGAAGTAGCCCGTGAGGATTCCGCTGAGGGCCAAAGGCCCCAGAGAGCGGTACAGTTGATAGTTAAAGACGAATAAATCCACCAGTGGTTTCCCCATGGAGGAATACAGTGCAGCGGCTGCAGAGCAGAAGAGTGTGAGATCCTGCGTGATGAACTGGTCCGCACCCTGACCGATGCCGCCGTCCAGATTCATCAACTTATAATAATTGTCATCGCCAGTGAGGTAGAGATCGTGAATGTACCGGGTGAGTCTCGTTCGAAATGCGATAGACACCTTCGACTGCAGGAACTTTATCATGGCATTAGTATACGAAGCAAGTGTGCCAATGCCACACCATTTGACAATACCCCACATGAACGCTCGGCCTTTCCCTGCAACGAGATCTCTCACGATCTCGCCATCCAGCCTTGCAATCAATAGCGATAGGTATGTTCGTAGAAGTAAAAAGACGCCATGACCCATAAGAAGGCCGGTCTCCTTACTACCCCATCTAGGGACCATAATACTCCCAAGACTAAGAAACTGGTGAAGGAAAGCAAGGTTTAGGCCCGGCTTAGTTGTCGGTGGTGGAATCTGATTTGATTCGCCATCTCCAGCGCGAGCCGAAGCTGGAGGGTTTAAGAAAAGCCTTCGATGTGCATCGAATGTCGTAGGTTTGGTTGGGTGGATAGTAACTTTGGACGTCAGAGAGTCTTTGTAAGGCACGTATATAGTGCGAGATCCATCCTTTCCCCTAATCCCAGAGTTTCGCCGTAACAATCGTCTGCCTTGGGCGCGTTCCTTCGCCCTCTGTCGTAGTCGTTTGTACCCTCCATATCCGGTTGCTACGATCGAGAGCAGCAGCGCAACGGTAGCAATCAACTTGGTTGTTTTCGATGAACGCTTAAAGCGAGAACGAACCAAGTTGAGGTAGTAGTGGTATAGTGTGGCGAGGGGATCCTCCCGTGAGCGTAGTGTTGACTGGGCGGCCATTGTGACTTAAATACCGGGGCACTTGGAGTCGAGCGGGGAGCTCACACGGCGCCCTTCCTTAAGCCAAGGCGACATAGGCCATGAAAGCGTCTGAGTGGGACGCGTCTGAGAGTTGTATGGTGTGTATGTTCAGTCAAGGTCGTGAGTGAGTATAGTAAGGGAATAAGTTCATTCACGGATAGTTGGCGAGTTTAACGATCTGCCGAACAAGTCACATTATGGCATTATGGGTGATGCTGACGGCATCGCGTTGTTGCATGTGAAGAACCTCGGGTCAGTGCAATTGCGGAGAGCTCACGTGCGGGCTTATTTCCCCAGATTTGCTAACTACAGGCGGCGGACTAACTCGAGGTTTCTTTTTACCGAAACTTAGTGATTTACATTAACGGCTGCCACACACTTCATCTAGTAGCGTTCTACACTATAGAATATACTATTCTATAATATATGGAAGCACATTCCCGGTATACAGGAGATAGTTGGCGGTAAGCGTTCGGAGCGCTGAGGGCCAGCAAGTAGTAAAGATACCACTCACTATCTAGTACTAAGATATGTAGAAATTTAAAAAAAATATATATTAGATCTGTGGATATGGATGTGATTTAATAGTCATATATCTGTAATAATATGATATAGATAGTAAATCATAGCTAAATAGCACTATATAGTTTGTGTATGTTTTCACAATATAGCTGTGTTTTGGCTCAGTATGTCTCCATTACTATACATAATAGCCTCTTGTATGCTCCATTGTCACTACTGATTGTTAATATGTGTTG